AATTTTTTTCTGATGAACCGATCGAGTTGCGGTTTTCGGCATTGTCTTCGGAAAAATATCAGGAAAAAAGTCTATATATTACACTTTGGGGCTGGATCGAAACTGCATTGCGGGTGCATAAACTGCATCTTGGAGTGCATCAATTCTTCCGAATTTTCTAAAAATGGTAAAAATTGACTAAAAGTTGTAGAAATTTGTGTGCACGGGTTTTCGGGGTCGGAGATTCCGAATCTAACCCTGAAAAATATGCCCGACGGCCCCCCCTCCCAGGGGGGCAAGGGGGGGAGGGGCTTCTGTAAAACATCGAATAGACTTTTTTTCATTCGTTCTTGCGCTAATTTTTTTTTAAGTGCAGTCCTGAAAAGTGTTTATGAAGGAATTGTTTCGTGGACAATACTGAGGTTTTGTATCGAATTAAATATAATATTGGGCGGCTGGATTCCAATTCGAATTGAATTATCGTGTTTTTTTTTAAATTACAGATCAGGTATTGAATTATTTGTTTTGGAAAAACATGTTTCGGTACATTTCAAGTTTAATTTTGTTCTCGTCGTATGAAGAGAAGGTGCTATTGTAAGTTGATTTAGATTCGCACAATTTAATCCTTGGCATTTATTATCCGAGATTTTTTCCTTTGGATACGAATTCTTGTACAGAGAAGATTTATAAACTCTTTCTGTTGTGCGTAGGAGCCAGATTTCGTTACAGATTCGAATTCGACATGGTAATGTGGTGACCTACACTCTCAGCAGCTACCGTAGAATATATCGATAAAATAGATACCGATCCTAGCCAGTTAGAAATTTATATGTTAAAGCCTCCTGGACTGAAGCGAGTCGAGGCCTTGTATTCATCAGACAGTTTCTCCCAAAAACCACCCTGTATAAGATTTAATATATTGTTATTGCACGCCTTCACAGGGTGTTACATGATTTCGGCGGCTTTAATAGAGGTAAGGTCCAGTTTACTAAAATATTTGAGAAATTTCCGGATTTGCATGAGCAAGCGGAAATATTCAAGAGAGAGAACATGCAAATTGAAGATTTGTTGGGACCAGGGATCCAACTCTCCCTGGCCCTTTATGACGGCTTTTAACATAGGCCCTAGCTCACACATTGACATATGTCAAAAGTACCGTCTGAAGATGTACATAACGAGCGCAGGAAAAAATAATAAGGTCGACTCAGCTAAGTTAATCCCCACAGTCGACGGGCTAGAGCAGCACCTTAAACGAGTGTATTACCAAGTACGTGAATGGCATGGGGGGCATTTGGATCCATTGAAGTGGGGTTGGAGATCTATCAATGGAAAACTAAGGCCGATTCCCGTGACGGAAGAGCCGGGGCCTCCAAATATAACGAGCATGGTTAAATGCAGCTGCATTGAGGCTACGGACTGTGGCAGATCTTGTGGGTGTAGGAAGCATGGAATTACATGTACAATAGCATGTACAAATTGTTTTGGAACCAACTGTTCCAATATTGAAATAGTCGAAAATGTAATAGATGATAGTGATGGAGACAGTGATGACAGTACTGATGATGAAAATTGTGATTGATAGTGAAAGTGTTAGATAAACATATGACAGTAGTTGTCTCACTAATTGCCTTGCAAATAAAAAGAAAATTGGTTCTCAGAATAAAGGGGATTGATTATTTTCGACTCGTTAATTTCCTGTTAGTTTTTCTTACCCTTCTTGTCTAATCTCTGTAAATTTACGTGTGTTACAATGTAAAGACGAGCCTACAAGATCATGGTTGGTAAGCAGGTGGAGCAGTTTTAATGCAAATATCTGATGTGCCTTTCGATGTTTTCCAGAAAGCCCACCCCACGGGCGTCGGGCATACTTTTCAGTATCAGAATCGGAATCCCCGACCCCGAAAACCCCCGAGTGGAAATTTAGGAGGCAATTACTCAGCTATTCGATGTTTTACAGAAGGCCCTCCCCATGCCCCCTGGGGGGGGGGGCCTCAGCGGCGTCGGGTATACTTTTCAGTGTCAGAATCGAAATCCCCGACCCCAAAAACCCCCGAGTGAAAATTTAGAAGGCAATTACTCAGCTATTCGATGTTTCACAGGAGCCCCCCTTGCCCCCCTGGGGGGGCCCAGGGCCGTCGGGAATATTTTTCAGGGTCACATTCGGAATCTCCGACCCCGAAAACCCGTGCACACAAATTTATACCACTTTTAGTCAATTTTTACCATTTTTAGAACATTCGGAAAAATTGATGCACTTCAAGATGCACTTTATGCACCCACAGTGCAGTTTCGATCCAGCCCCAAAGTGTAATAGATAAACTTTTTTCCTGATATTTTTCTGAAGACAATGCCGAAAACCGCTACTCGATCATTTGAAAAACATTTCTGATTTATTGTCTAACTTGCCTTAATCCAAAAAATGTCGACGAAAAGGAAGAAATTCGTGCAATTTTTATGATTCAGAAAGGCGCTGTTTCTTTTTCATTCATATATTAACCGTATATTATTTATTAATATACGGTTAAGTCCCGGCAGTGGCGTACACACCTTTTTTGTAAGGGGGGGTTACACTTTGTAGTAAGTTTTTCGCGGCACGAAACTAGAGCACAGGGAAGCAGACGAAACTAAAAAGCGACGTTGCAACGTTTAGTCCGATTCAAGTACGATATTGGAAACAACAAAATATATACGGCAATAGGAAGTTTTAATAGGTACATAATTATTGTTAAAAGTTAAAGCTCATAGGGGGGGGGGTTGAACCCCCCCCAACCCCCCCCCCCCCGTTGTACGCCAGTGAGTCCCGGTGTATTATACAAACTGTATTTAATTTACTTATCATTTAATTTCAATTACTTTACATTTAAAATGCCTTATAAGTAGTACCTGCATCATAACATAAAAACAATATACATTGTAGGTACTTATCATCTTGATGTGATGTAATTAAAGGTACGTTTTGATTGATCCCATCACTGAATTATGTTTATACATTTTTTATCAAAACTACTGGCAAGCACGGTTTGTTTTTTGATAATTATACATTCATTATATCGCTATAGCAATACCGACATGTTCAAGGTCGCAAATAATGACGTTACAGTTTCGCGTAGTGAGATAGGGATTAATCGCTCTACTACTGTCATCGGACACTGTTCTGTTTCCTTTCGCTCTGCAACAATGACTGCTGACAAAATAGTAAAGCTCGACCAATTGTTAAACGGTTACATTGGCGATTCCAAATCCATCATTGATACTAAAATATCAAGATTAATCGGACCTGGTGAAAACTACGGAAGTCTTCTGTTGAAGGTTGACATAACCTTAGAAAATAAAAAGGATAATTCTCGAGAGGAACTACACACGGTTGCCAAACTCATACCGGAAGATGAATCACTACAAAAAAAGTTCAATATTCAAGTGACTTGTAAAATGGAGATTAGTTTCTACGACACAATCGTGCCGACGCTTCAGCGGTTCCAGAGGGAAAAGGGTGTACAGCAAGTGATGGACTTATTCCCCAAGATGTACGGAGCCAGGATAAATTTGAACGGAAGCGACACAGTCGACCAAGATGCGGTATTGCTGTTAGAAAATTTAATAGAAACAGGTGCGTAGACTATATCTATACTCTGTGTACTTATTATATTAAATATGCAGGGTGTTACAATAGGAAAAGTGTTAAAAAACAAAGAGTACTCCAGAACAATAAGAAATATCATAGAACATATATCCGGAAACAATTCGTTTCCGAGATACAGGATGTTTTCGAAATAAATATATATTTTTCTTTATATCTCCCAAACAGGATGATGGTAGCAACACGAGAACACAAAATTTCACTTTTCTGTCTTAATAAATAATAACACCTTTCCGTGAACATATGATTCCTTAAATTTGACAAAAATACTATTATTTTCTGTTCAAATTAGCACTAAAAATCAGGTGCATCTTGATTTTTTATTGTTTGCTTGTGTTGTTATTTAATAACATAAAAATAATGTACACTCTATATCAATGCAAAAATGATACAGATGCTTTTTATACAGGGTGATTCTAAAATATGTAGCCAATCTTATAGGGCAGAAACTAGAGGTCAAAATAGATTGTTTGAGTTTGAACAAATTTACCTAGATACGAAAATGCACCCTTAACAAGTTACAGCCCCTTAAAATTGAAACAAAAAAATTGTAAAAATACAAATTTCTCCCAAATGACAGAATATTTTTTTTCAAATTTGGCACAGGACCAATACTAATAAATAGCCATGTTTTGAAGATAATATCGATAAAATGAATTGACGGCATGGGGGTAATGTAGGGGTAGTCAGTCTGTGTTTCACCCTGTATTTTTTATACTCCATATTTTGACGATTTGTGCAGCATCATTGGACAGATAATTTAATTTTAAAAGGTTTTTTGTCTTGACATATTTTGATATTTTACATTTGTTTTAGCACCCCGTAAATATATAAAAAGTAGAAGTTTTGTTTGCTAAATTATTCGACATCTGATGTTGAATTTAAGGATTTTAAATGGAACAGCCTATATATTTATTTTTAAAAGGAAAAAATATTCTTCTCTTAAATCAACAACGAGAATAAATGCCTACAAAAATATATTATATTATTAGGGTAATTAAGGTGTTTCAATTAGTTCCTAATTATTTTTTTTCTAAAAAATCTTACCAAATAAAGTCCAACAATGTTCTTAGATACCAGATATCTAGATATAAAAAGGGTATCTAATTCCAGAGATAATACTTGTAACTGCTGATATTACGGGTAAAAATTACTCTAAGGGTTACATGCCCCAATTAGAATCGAATTACACCTACAATAATAAACAGATAGTACTTAATAATTATTCAAAATAAAAACTAAAAATTAAATGTACTTTTAATATGGAGGGCATAGAAGCCAATCAGTGTAAGTAACTTCTCTGGAAATTGAGTTATCTACTGAAGGTTTGTTCTTAAAATTGAAATGTATGAAATGTTACCTATATATTTCAGTATCTTTACGGGAATCTTTATTTTATTCCAACAAGTTTCACAAATAGCCAATGTTCTTATTTTCTATTATATTCAGTGACTTACACTGATTGGCTTCTGAGCCCTCCATATAATACTCCAGATATAAGTATTACCATTGGTAAAGAAGAATACATAAAAGCACACTACAAAGAGATCTATTTGTTTCAAAATTTTACTTAGGATAGATGCAACAGGTAGACCCTCTTCGTATATAATTAGTAAATTTTATATTATCGTTTGAATTCATTTGACGATTTAATGATTTGATTGAATTTGTCTGAAGTAATAATACCTTTGAAACAGAATAAAAAATGCATTAATAAATTATTTACTATAACTGTTAAAGTATGTCGAAACCTTAGTTTTTTAGATCATAATTTTCTTCTTATAATAATATAAGCACCTAAAAGATGTGCATTCATTGGTCTATTTTAATTCATTAAAAAAGTTGAATATTTAAAACTAGTATCCAACGAAAGATTGTTTGCATTTTCTCATGAATAGAATAAAGCTCATGTACCTACTCTGAACAGAACAATAGCTCTTTAATTATCTTATTTGTTTCGCGATGATAATTTTATCTTTAATTAGATACATGACGTAATAGTCAAGCTTGTTGTAATTTTGTTGTTTACTGTTAATTAAAGATTATATTAATGACGCACTAGTGAAATCTTCCAATTATTTTTTTAGGTTACAAGAACGTGGATCGTTTCGAAAGCTTCGACCTGCCGACAGTCAAAGTCGTCCTCAAAGACCTGGCAGTATTCCACGCCGTTCCCCTAGCCCTGAAACTTTTAGAACCCGAAACTTTTCAGTCCAAAATTCGACGGTACTTAGTGGACTACCACCCACCGCCACATGATCCAGACGGCAAAAAATTCGCCCATTCCTACGAAATAGTTTTCAACATTTTGGAGGAAGATGAGGAGTGTAGATCTCTGGTTCCTCTACTCCGAGAGAAACGCAAACTGAGGCTGGACATTCACCAAAACGAACCGTGGGCCACAATGGGCCATGGTGACTTCTGGATCAACAACACCATGGTGAAGTTCGAAGAAGGTAGATCAATAGCCAATAAAATGGTAGACTTTCAGTTTCCTAGATACGTCTCGCCGGCCATAGATTTGTTCTTCTTGTTGTGGTCTAGCGTGAAATTGAACGTTCTGGATGAACACTTTGACAACCTAGTGCGATTTTACCACGAGAACTTCATTAAACAACTCGAAGAGCTCCATTGCGATACCTCTCCTTTCACTCTAGAACGATTCCTGGAGGAATTGAGGTTGGTAGCGGATACCGAAATGATGCACATCTTGTTTTTCACAATTTTCATCATTTTTGCTAAAAAGAAGGAGTCGGGACATAATAAGATGCCACATGAATTAGAACCAGAAGATGTTAGCGAAATAGGCAAGGAAAGGATAATCCATTTCATCAAAGTTTGCAAAAGGAAAGGATGGTTATAATATAAAATGTATTAATACATGTTAAACGAATATCAAATATTATTAAACCCTTGTCAATTTAATACAAAATAATGTATTTCTTTAAAAATCATTGGTTGAGACTAATGTGGTGATAATACGAATATTCTATTTCGGATTTCGGGCATCAAATTTAAGATCAATCCGTTTTCTCTGCTATTAACTCAATTTTTAAATAACTTTTTTACTGATAATTAATTTTTAAAAAGGCTTCTTATATAAAATGTTCGGATGTTCTTGACTGAAAATAAACCAAATTATATTAAGTTAACTTTTCTTACTTTAAAAAGTTTCTTATATGAAATTTTTAGAAACGAATCAGCCATATTTCAAGAGTAGTTTTCTTCCTCCCTTTAAAAAGTTATGAGCCTTCAAAAGAGTTTTTTTTTATTTAATTTTTTTATGCAACTGCATACAGTAGGATCGTATACGATGCAAAGTAGAGCAAAAAATTGTCGGCCTTTTATCAAAGGAAAATCGTGTCATCATTTTTAGGAGGCGTAAGATAAATCATTTCAAATTTAAAATGAAAATCAATGTAAAATCTGAAATACCGCTGCACACGCACTGTGTTCTGGTAGTAGCTGTAGTCGCCCAGGTGCATCGAGTGTACGAACTGGTCGGTTATACGTCAAATACTAACCTGGCGAGCTTTGCCGTTAATTAGAGAGCGCTTCCAAAAAACAAGTAAACAACAGTGGCGCGTACAGAGGTAAAATGTAGTACATATGTGGAATTTAGGAAACAAATTGGATTTATAATAAAATTACATTTAAAAAAAATAGTTTATGAGAATAAAGGAATTTTTGTAGCAACAAGGGTGCCAGACCTGAACTGATCCCCTCGTCCCTTCATAATGTATAAAGAAATTATTCAATTTATAAAACCCTTAAAGGCGTACTTCATTGGTTCCCTTGACAGGCAATGATTTATTACTTTGCATCGAATATGATCGTACTATAGTTCAATGAAACTTGATGTAATTTTAGGATACCCTGTGACGAACAAACGCTTATTTCTTGCTTAAAACATTGTCACAAAGAACAGCTGAAATACTATTATTTGTACTATATTTTTTATTAGTAGAGATTTTACGAAAACACAAATGTTTATAGTCGCTCTATTTACCCGTATATTCCATATTGTCGCTTTTGAAGAGCCGCTACTACCATTTGACTTCACACCTAGTATGATAAATGACGAGATGGTAAATGGGTAAAAAACAAACTGACGCGTTAATTCGGCGAAACGGGAATAGTCGAATCACTGCTACATTTTTATTATAGTTTGTGGAGTGTCTTTGTGTAAGTGTATAACCTTATAATGTTAATTATTTCAGGGTTTTGTGAAGGTACAGTGTACTTTGTGTTTCTGTTTCCAAGATTTTCCTGATATTATTAAAAAGCATTTATACGAATCAAAGAATAGTTGATATGGCTAGAACCTACTTTTTGTCAGGAGAAGACGATGCTGTTGCAAGAAGACAATATCAGATGGATTATCTCGACCTATACCGTACCAAATAAGAAAATGTTTGTTAAGATCGGTTTAACATTGAATAGATTATGAGAGCTTTGAACACCAATACGCTAAGAAGGGAACAAATTCAGACAGAGAAGCTTAGAACCAAAAATTTTAAACGGTGTGGAAGAGGATTCTGGTACCAATACACGAAGACTAGCTACAAAATTTCAAGTATTTCAAATGTTGTAAAAATCAGACAAATAAACAAATTATTTATTTATTTTTGTGTATTTCATTACTATTATCTATTTATTCTCCTAAGACAACGGCGACGAAAATTAAGAAATTCACGCAGTCGCAAAGCTTACACATCCCATCAAGTTTATGGCAGCAAGTGTTCAACGTCCAAGTGATGTTGCTTTTCATTTACACGTTGAAGTTATAGAATGTACGGACATTAATTAATTATAATAACATCACTAGCAATTGTATTGTATTGTATGCAAAAGCTGTATTTAGTTTATTCTCATTTAAATGCCTTATAAATAGTACCTATATCATGAAGACAATACATTGTACTTATCATTTTGATGTGATGTAATTAAAGTTACGTTTTGATTGATCCGATTACTGGATTATATTTATACATTTTATCAAAAGTACTTGCAAGCACTGTTTGTTTTTTGATAATTATACACTCATTACATTCCGATAGAAATACTGAAAATACCTACATGTTCAAGATCTAAAGTATTGAAGCGGTACAGTTTCGCGTAGCAAGACTAAGATTAATCCGTCTACTATTGTCATCGGACACTATTCTCCTTCACTTCGCTCTACAACAATGACTGGTGAAAAAATAGTTAAACTCGACCAATTGTTGAACGGTTACATTGGCGATTCCAAATCCATCGTTGATACTAAATTTTCAAGGTTAACCGGACTCGGTGAAAATTATGGAAGTATCCTGTTGAAGGTTGACATAACCTTAGAAAATAAAAAGGATAATTCTCGAGAGGAATTACACGCGGTTGCCAAACTCATACCGGAAGATAAATTACTCCAAAAATTATTCAATATTCAAGTGAGCTGTAAAGTGGAGATTGGTTTCTATGACACAATCGTCCCGACGCTTCAGCGGTTCCAGAAGGACAAGGGTGTGCAACAAGTGATGGACTTTTTCCCCAAAATGTACGCATCCAGGTTAAATCTGAACGGCAGCGACACAGTCGACCAAGATGCAGTGTTGTTGTTGGAAAATTTAATAGAAGCAGGTAGGTACTCAAACTCTAACTATAATCTAAGCAATATTAAATATACAGAGTAAGTAAGTAGAGTAAGATAAATATGATATTTACGCAAATACTTTTTAACTTATTCGACTTGAGCCAGTGATATAAGTAAATAAATAATCTATAGTAGAATCATATTCGATGCAAAGTAATAAATCATTGCCTGTCAAGGGATCCATTGCAGTACGGTTTTAAGGGGTTTATAAATTGATTAATTTCTTTATGCATTATGCATTAATAGTTATATATTTATGAAGGACAAAATGAAAAACAAAGGCATCTCCTTCGCACATTGGGCGGCAGGGCAACAATACATTTATTACTCCCTTCATCCTCCCTCATATGACTTGTGTCGTGTGTTTGTTGCGGCGGCGCGCGTGCCGGCCCGGCGTGGTCAGTTTCGTTTCGGTTGTATTGGTGCTGCGTGTTTCTCGCTCTCGATATTTGTGAGGTTATAACTGTTATAAGTGCAATTATATTTCGTTCGAGCTGTATGTGTGTTTCGCGCTATTATTTGAGAATTTGTGAGAGAAATCATATTTCTTGTGCTCCGTAACAAAAGTGTTTTTAGTGTTTTATTTGTGTGCTGTGTGTGTGTTTCGGGCTGTTGTTTGTGAATCGTGAATGCTATTATATTTTCTGTGCTAGTGAAGTGAAGTTTTTTGTATTATTATTGCTCTTTTGTCATTATATGGAGAAATGGAGGCGGTGCCTGGATGTTCGCATGCCGGATGTACTGCTGTGGGTACAGAGAAATCTGTATTAAGTTACAGAGAAAAAACGATAATATTAAATGTCTATAACGCTTTAGAAAAGGATCATGAAACCGAAGACTGGTTTGGTGGAAATGTGTTCTGGATATACTGGAGTAAGCAAATCATCTGTTTTCAAAATTTTAAGAGAGAAGAAAAATGAAGGAGACGTTAAGAAACCTAAAAAAGGGGGTGGAAGGAAGAAATTAATATTAAATAAAGATGAGAAAAATGTAGTTCGGCGTACAGTATATAAATCATAGAATTTATATTTTGTTTATAATTTGTTAATATTTCTTGTTTGATAGAAAAATAACTTATTTTGTTGAGATTGATAGAGAATTGTTGTTAGTGTTTTCATTTGATAGAATCATATCGTAGGATTTATATTTTGTTTTCATTCTGTAAATATTTATAGTATATCTGTTATACAATGTTTTTGCTTTGAAACTTCGTTCTCCTTATAAAAAAAAAGAATCGTAATGGGGTGCGATGAAGGGATCAGTTCACGCCTGGAACCCTGTTACTACAAAAATCCCTTTATTCTCATAAACTATTTGTTTTAAATGTAATTTATTATAAATCCAATTCGTTATTTAAATTCCACATATGTACTACATTTCACCTCTGCATGCGCCACTGTTTATTGTTCCCTGCTCTACGATCAAGCTCGCCAGGTTAGTATTTGACGTATAACCGACCACTTCGTACACTTGATGCACCTGGCCAACTACAGCTAGTACCAGAACACAGTGCGTATGCAGCGGTATTTCAGATTTTACATTCAATTTCATTTTAAATTTGAAATGGTTCATCTTACGCCTCCTAAAAATGATGATACGATTTTCCTTTGATAAAAGGCCGACAATTTTTTGCTCTACTTTGCATTGAATACGATCCTACTATATATACAATTATGTAAACTCATCGTGAAGATACTGAGAGACACTGACACTAATAACCCCAAATTGTGACCATTGAGTCAATGGATGCATTTGATTACTAATCAAATTTCAAATAACAAAATGCACTTAAATATAAAATAAGCTTACCGTAGAAATGAACAAATCAACAAAACTCTGAAACTATTCATTTCACATAAAAACTTTTATTTTTACTTATTGTTAGGTAAACCATTATCCCATACCCCATTAGTCTACGTCAAACATCTTCAGATGTGTTATATTTCTCAAAAATTTAACACTCTGTATGTCGAAAACTAAGCCTTTTAAGACGCCGGTTCATACAAACTTTTCTTTTCATAATGATACAAGTAAGCACCTCCTAAAATATGTTTACGTAAATATTTAAGTTACACCCTATAAGTGCATTCTTTAGTCTTTTTAAATTCATTAAAAAAGTTTAATAATTTTTAAAACTAGTAACCAAAGTAAAAATGTTCGTATTTTCTCATGAATAGAATGAATCTCATGTACTCTGAACAGAACAATAACTTTTTAATTATCTTATTTGTACTCACTTGTTATTTTCTCAATAACAGTAAAGGATTAGATTCATGAGATCCTAATCAAGCATTACTATTAATTTTTTGTTTCTATACTTTCTTTGATTAAATTATAATTAAATTAATGACGCACTAGTGAAATCTCACTATTATTTTTTTTTAGGTTACAAAAACGTGGACCGTTTCGAAAGCTTCGACCTGCCGACAGTAAAAGTCGTCCTGAAAGACCTGGCAGTCTTCCACGCGGTTCCCATAGCCCTGAAACTTTTAGAACCTGAAACTTTTCAATCCAAAGTTCGACCGTACTTGGTGGACTTCGAACCACCGCCACCTGATGCAGAAAATCCAGACGTCAAAAAATTCAACCCATCCTTCGAAATAGTTTCCGACATTTTGGAGGCTGACGAGGAGTGTAGACCTCTGGTTCCTCTACTCCGAGAGAAAAGCAAATGGAGGCCAGAGCCATACCCAAACGAACCGTGGGCCACAATGGGCCATGGAGACTTTTGGATCAACAACACCATGGTGAAATTCGAAGAAGGTAGACCAGTAGCCAATAAAATGGTAGACTTTCAGAACCCCAGATACCTCTCGCCGGCCTTAGATTTGTTCTTCTTGTTGTGGTCTAGTGTGAAATTGGACGTTTTGGACGAACACTACGACAACCTTGTGCGATTCTATCACGAAATATTCATCAAACAACTCAAGGACCTGGAGTGCGATGTCTCTCCTTTTACTCTAGAACGATTGCTGGAGGAAATGAAGTTGATGGCGGATACCTTAGTGATACGCGTCGTGATTTTCACAGTTTTCGTCATTTGTGCTAAAAAGAACGAGTCAGGTCTTCCCAGGATGCCACATGAGTTAGAAGTAGAAGACGTTACTGAGATAGGCAAGGAAAGGATAATCCATTTCGTCAAAGCTTGCAAAAGGAAAGGATGGTTGTAATATAAAATGTATTAATAAATGTTACACGAATATCAAAAATTATTAAACCCCTATCAAATTAATACAAAACAATTCCTTCAAAAACCATTCGTAGAGAATATTGTGATGGAACACAAACATTCTATTTCAGGCATCAAAATTGAAGTAAATCCATTTGTTTTGTTTTTAACTCTAAATTTCTAAATAAGTTTTCAACTTTTATATAAAATACACGGAAACGAATTTTTGGGTGCAAATAAACCGATTTATATCGAGTTACTTTTTTCTTTCTTTAAAATGTCATGAGCATTCAAAAGCGGTTTTTTATTAATTTTTTAAAGCAACTCCATTTTTTAAGGTCAAGTTCAATGAAATTTGATGTAGGAAAAGTTTTGGTATACCCAGTGATGAACACAGGCTTATTTCATACTTAAAACATAGTCAGTAATTGTAAGATTACCTAAAACAGTATTTTGTGTACCAAATTTTTTATTGGCAAGGATCTAGAAAACTCTATTTATTCGCACTGTAAAATTATATATACTATTTGCAGACCGCTAAAATATACCTTTTCTGAGATAAAATACAGTACGCGCCTAAAGTATGGAATAAATTCAGTAAAAACGAAACAATTTATTTTTGGGAAAAATCCTCGAACAAGTCGATTTTTAATTTAAAAAATACATATTTTAGCATAAAAGGCGATTTTCAATCGTCATTTGTTTTCGAGTAATGACGTCATCGACATTTATTTGAAATAGCAACCCCCTATTTTTTTTTCTTTATTCTGAAAGATCGTTTAATTGTCGATCCGACAGTATTAAAATGTTGCCATCTTACATAGGAAAGTTTTCGAGTAAATGACGATTGAATGTTAGAAAACGTAAATTTGATTCATTAAAAAAATAACAATTCCTATGTCAAGCAAATACAATTCATTAAGTTTTCTACCTAAATTAAGTGTTCGAATTGTCACCCACCGACTTCTTGACAATGCGCAAGTCTGTGTAGAAATTCTTCTTGCACATTATGAAGTAACTCTGTGTATTTCATCTATAATACAATTTTGGAGCCCTTCTAAATTATGTGGTCTATTAACGTACACTTTGGACTTTAAGTAGTCCCATAAGAAATCCAGTCCAGTCCAGGGGTGTAAGATCTGGGGATTTCGCGGGTCATTCCATCGGTCCTCGTTTGCCGATCCACCTCCCAGGAAAACAATTGTCCAGCAAATCTCGAACAGGGCGCGCATAGTGCGGAGGTGCACCGTCTTGCTGAAACCATATGGTGTCGTCAGGAATATCAGGGTCATTATCGTTAGGAAAGATTACTGCAAGCGCTGGAACAAGGTCATTTTGTGAAAACTCTAAATATTTTTCTCCTGTAAGGGTTCCTTCAAAGAAGAAAGGCCCTACTATTCTGTTGTCAATTATTCCAGCCCACACAATTAATTTCTGTGGGTGTTGGGTATGTGTCTCTACCATCCAATAAGGATTTTCCCGACTCCAATACCTGCAAGTTTGACGGTTCACTGTACTATTGAGACAAAACGTGGCCTCGTCTGAAAAAAGTATTTGCCGGTGTAAATCACTATTTACTTAAATTTACGTAAATTTACATAAATCCATCATAATTTCACAAAAGTGTAAGCGGCGCCGGCGGTCGGGATCGTCTTCATTGAGTTCCTGCACAAGTTGAATTTTGTAGGGATGCTATTTTTCCTGCCTCAGGATACGTAGCACTGTGGTCTGACTAATTTCATTGTTCAATGCAACCATTCGTAAAGTATTATGAGGATTATCTACCATACTTATCAAAATGTTATCTTCACTAACGCTTGGACATCCAGGTTTTGGAATATCTGCAATATTGCCAGTTTCTCTAAATTTAGATTCTATCTTACTGACTGTTGATTGGCTAATACGGCGATCTGGATGTTTCTCATTAAATAAATCGCAAACTTCCTGCTGCGTTCTAGTCTTATCCCCGCATCCGATAAGAATTTAAAATTTAAATTCTTTGTGTGACAGTTAAATGTGCCAAAATACTTTAAATTAAACAATACTTTTTATATCGCTTACAATACTTAGAAAGTCGGTATGACAGTGACACTTTTTAAAGATTTACACCTACGAGATCCATAAAAAAACTTCAAGCATTTCGAAAAACTAAATTTGATAACGTTTTTGCTTTATTTTAATTGATTTGGGTTTTCTAACATTCAATCGTCATTTACTCGAAAACTTTCCTATGTAAAATGGCAACATTTTAATATTGTAATAGGGGGCTGCTATTTAAAAAAAATGTCGATGACGTCATTACTCGAAAACAAATGACGGTTGAAAATCCCTTTTATGCTAAAATATGTATTTCTTAAATTAAAAATCGACCTGATCGAGGATTTTTCCCAAAAAAAAATTTGTTTCGTTTTTACTGAATTTATTCCATATTTTAGGCGCGTGTATATTTCCATTTTCTATTGTAGTTGCCACACAAACGGCTGAATTTTTGGGAGCATTTTAATCTAAGTATACTTAATTCTTTTCAATATATCTGTGGCCACATTAAATGTATTACTTTATAATTTATACAAACTTACCTCTTCAAATAAATTCAGCATCGGCCAACATTTCGAGAGCTATATGTCCGTAGACGTTGACTTTCGGTGAATTGATTTAGATTTCATAACGTTTCGAGAGATAAATTACACTGTTCTTCAGAAGAAGTTTAGATTTATGGATGTCCTTATTAACGTTAAAAAATGAGGCCACCCGGCATTAGCTTGGTAAGTTGTATCAGTGCACTATCAGCGTAGCCAGTTGTTACTTTTTTAAAATAATTGTTAGAGAGAGAGAGAGAGAATGGAAAATAATTTAGTAAAACATACAGCTATTGTATGGATCAGTGTCGTGTTATTTTAAAGTCATCACGTTTTTTTGATATCAATGTGGACGAAGCTCTGAACATTAAAAAAATATTCCATTGATTCTAAAAAAACAAATTTGTCTACATGATTTATTAAATATTTAATATAAATTTTTGTTTTATGACAATTACTTTTACCGTATTAAAACACGTACGTAATAAAAAATAAATAAAAATACTAATTCAGATTAGTATACCAAAATATTTTTTTTAAAATCGTTTCAAGTTTTTACAAACAAATTATGCGTTAATATATTTTTAAGCAGTGTATGTATTTAATTTGTGAATCTCAGTATCAATGACCTCTGACATTGACCCAGATTAGCTAACTATAGTACTGCCACTACATAAAGTAGGTAGGAACGCATTTAGGATAATTAAAACAGGTAATATTAAAAAGATTTTAAACAAAATATGATGTTTTTACTCTTTTTTCTTACACAGTCGCTTCGGCAGCCAATCGGTGCTAAAAATAATAAATTAATCCAATGTAAATAAAACAGTTACAAAATTAAATCGTGAACAGTTAAATTTAAGCAGAATCCGATCCTCTTCCGAACGTTTACGAATAAGAACGGAGGTTACCCGCCGCTGTTCTATCAATATTCCGCATTGCCGCTTTTGAAAAGCTACTACTGCCAGTTGTGCACCTGTTATGAAATGACAAATTCGTAAAAAAAACAGCCACGTTAATTCGGTGAAACAGAAAAAGTCGAATACGTCACCACCGCATCATTATGTTAGTTTTTTATTTTAGTTTGTAAAGTGTCTTTGTGTGGTGTAAGTGTACCTTACAAAGTTAATTATTTCAGTGTTTAGTGAAGGTACAGTATATCTTTGTGTTAAGTTTTTGCGTCATGCCATGAAAAAGCATTTATACGAACCAAGAAATAGTTGATATAGTCAAAGCCGACTTTTTGTCAGGAGAAAACGATGCTGTTGCAAGAAGACAATATCAGATGGATTATCCCAACCTATAAGTATCTAATAAGAAAATGTTTGTCAAGATTGGTTTAACATTTAAGAGATCATATGAACTTTGAACGCTAATACGTTAATGTTAGACGGGAACAAACTCAGAGAGTGAGAAACTTAAAACCAGAAATTATAAACGCAGTGGAAGAGGATTCTGGTACCAGTACAGGAAGACTATGGCTACAAAAACTGGGGAGAATTTTTTCAAACTCAATCAAGCTTGTTTATCCAGCTTCAATTTGCTTTTTGAAAGGTCTGTACAACTATTGGTTGCCGAGATATCAATGTTGAACGAAAAATAGCACTTTTATCTCTAATGATTGATATCTCTCTACAGGAACAATAGCTTTTTATCTTATTTGCTTCATGATAATGCAAATTTTAAGCAAATTTACTTGCTATTTTTATTTTTTCTTTAATAGTAAACAATTAGATCCATGACGTACTTAGTCAAGCATTACTAACATTTTGTTTCTATAATTTCTAACAAAGATTAGTTTACTGACGCAGTAATGAAATCTTACTATTATTAATTTAGGTTATAAAGACGTGGACCGTTTCGAAAGCTTCAACATGCTGATCGTCAAAGTTGTTCTGAAAGATCTGGCAGTCTTCACGCAGTTCCCACAGCTTTAAAAATTTTAGAACCCGACACTTTTCAGTCCAAAATTCAACCGGACTTAGTGGACTCCAAGCCACTGCCACCTGACGTTGAAAACAAAAACTTCGAAATAGTTTTCGACATTTTGGGGACTGACGAGAAATGTAGACCTCTGGAAACTCACCAAAACGAACCACCAACACCATGGTGAAGTTTGAAGAAGGTAGACCAGTAGCCAATAAAATGGTTTTGAACCTCAGATATCTCTCGCTAGCCATAGATTTGTTGTCCTTGTTGTGGACTAGTGTGAAATGGACGTTCTGAAAGAGCACTTTGATAAACTAGTGCAATTTTACCAGGAAAACTTCATTAAACAACTGAAGGAACTCCAGCGCGACGGAATTGAAGTTGGTGGCGCATACTTAAGTAATGCACATCGTGTTTTTCAAGGTTTTTACTAAAAAAGACCGGTCAGGACCTTCCAAGATGCCATATGAGTTAAAATCAGAAGATATTACAGAAAGAGCTAAAGAAAGGATAAAAAAACCAACTAATTTGTTACGACAAAATACTGTATTTGAGACAAAACACTGAGGTCAATCAT